TTGACCGCATTATATAACTTGTGTTATGTTTTACTGCCGTATTAAGCTCACAGGGCCGTACTGAAAAGGCAGGTCTCCTTATTTGACTTGTATCCTGTTTTATGTTTTTATGTTTCTGACACTATTTATTAGAACCAGACGATAAGTCACACATGTTTATTTCGCCTTCTTGTTTTTGATGATTGTTGTTTTACCACATCTGTTTGACAGTAACTATAGTAGCAAGATCTGAGGTTTAATACATTCATTATTTATCTCTGCATATACACCTCTGTCCTTCAACGAATATCTGCTAAGATCACATATTAAGTCATTTTCAAAGGCTCAATCTTGTCAGATTTTGTCAGCGGCTATTTACGTGTCAGCCAAGGTGCTTTCATGTGCTGCCTCAGTCATTGTGGTTTACAAGTTTGTTTTTGTGAGAACAACCTGCCTGTCAAGCACTGACTGTAGTTATACAGGTTTTGCCTCAAGATTTATGATTTGTTGTTACTAAAAGCTTGGCGCGTACAGTAGGCTGTTCCCTCTCCTGCCTCTGTGTATATATAGTTGTAAAGACATTTGAGTTGAACAAGAATATATATCTATCGATATCTCTGAGCAGGTTTGAAAACACTCCATTTGAACTAAAACATTTCACAAAAACAAAACAGAAATGATAAACCATGTTCTTTGGAGGTTATTGACTTCTTAAATGTGCACCAAACTAGTGATACTTTTTATTACTTTGATGATTTGTGACAATCCAATCAAATGCTTGTATCATAGAGACAGTAAGAAAACTGATGGTCTGGTGAAGTCTCATCAGGAGTAAAGAGGTTTCCTGATCAGTTCTCTAATGCAAATGTGGAATAAACAGCTAGCTCGGGTAGTTTTTTTTTTAATTTGACCTATGGTGCGGCCTTCTGTCCGTCCACAGTTAAATCAACGCTGGGGGAACATCAGTCATGTTTCTGTTCATGAAAAGTGACATCAGAAAACCGTCAAGTATCAACGGTTGCTTTGTCCTCCTTTGTTGTTGTACTGCCGTTCCTCCACGAGGTGGCAGCCTCTGTACATAAATCCTTTCTCTGTTTGTTTATATAACTCGATTTCATTGAGAATCGCTAAACTGTGATGTGCCTTTCAGCTTAGTCTGCATGTTCTGCACACATTTAATGAATGATGTAATATGTAAATGATTCGCGATCATTTTGATATATGGGTTTATGAGCTAGCTGAAGGAGACCTTAATGCCCTGATGTAATGCCATATGTACTAGGGTTTACACAACAGTCCCAGGGCCTATTCACGAATAATGTTCTAGACAACTAACCAAAAACTGTCCAAAAAAGAAACCTCATTACTTGTCCATATTACCTGATACATAAAAAAATATTTAGTTAATCGTTAGCTACTCCTGTGAAGAGGTGAATTAATTTAATTGGATCACTATCTGTTTTTGTTCAATCATAACTCAATGGTAAAATAAAAAAAAACATATAAACCTTTTTATTTGTAATTAATGACAAATTAAGTAGTTTTGGTGTTTTGATTAAAAAACAAATGCATTTTAAACCTGCTGTGAGAAATAGTTAAACTGAAAAGATCAAACAGACTTTTCTCAAGTAGTGGGTTTTCATGTTTCAGGTTTGGGTGGTGCAAAAAATGGTATAAAAGGAATATCAACTTTTGGATTTTTAAAAGCTCTGATTTTAAGCCATGCTGTGTTTTTTGAGTCAGTCGTTATTATTTTGTGTAAAGATCTTGAGCCCTGTATTTGGCAGCTAGTGTTTGTACTGTAAATTTTAGGTTTAAGTTTTAGGTTAATAGTGTGTCACGTTTATTCAGTGGCGTCCTTCGCACATTGAAGAGTCGTGTGGTTAGTCACAGACCATAGAAACCGTAATTTGTGTCCGTGCATGTCGGCCTGTTTTTCTCGCTTCAAAGTGTGTTTACAAGTTCATGTGTTGGGGCAGTTTATTGGCACTGGCATGTGTGTGAGCTGTGAAATGGCAGGTTCTCGCAGCAGATGGAGGCTTTTAATTGTACAGATCTTCTTTCTTCCCCAGAGGGAAAACCATGAAGAAAGACAAGATGTGGAAAAAACGAAAGGCAGCTTTTCTGGTCTGATTTCTTTGTGCCATTATTACTAATTCTGGGACAATTCCCTATACCTTTATTTTGTCCTCTGTTATTTTCTGTCACATAAATTCAGCCTCTGGCTCTCCCTTGCAGTGAAATTCTGTACTTGTGCTCAGGCTTGATGACAGGAAAGAAATATGATATGTCTAATCCTTATTTTCAAAGCCAAAGTCCATACAAGCTCACACACCTGCAGCTTTTTTTGCAGGAATTGTGCTCAAGTGTCTACATTAATTCACTGCTAGTCCATAATCCACTGTTATTGTGGGTAACACCTTGATGTGTTACAGTAGTGGGAGCACAGGTCACTCACTGTGGGCTGGAACTTCTCATGGGTTTCATGTCTGCTCACTGTCATACTGTAATGTCATAGTGCAATGGTTCCCAACATGGGATTGCAAAGTTATTGCAGAAAGGCAAAGGCATTCTAAATACAGAGAGTGTCTGTGCGTAAAGTCCAAGAGACTAAGCGAAAGCTTAAAGCAGCCATTGAGATGTCTCCAAAAACAGTGTTGTTCACAAACCAAGGGGGTTCAATTAACTGAGTAGAATATCAAAATAGTTATTTATTAAGTGGTTGATTTCACTAATAACTCTGTCTGGTCAACTTGTGCTAAAGATTTTCCTGTTCTCTTTTTCTCAAGTGGTTTAGTAAAACATCTAAGGTCAGAGAAATAAGTCGTTGTATTAAGCTGACTTTATGGTCAAGCCATATTTTAATTTATTTTATTTTTAATTTTTAATAATTGTTTTTTGTCTGTTTTGTTTTTAAGTATTTTATTGATTTAATTATTTCTTTAACCAATTTGTGTACCATTCCAACCTTAAAGAAACTGAGTAACTGAGTAGCTTATGTGGTTGTTTTAAATACTACTAGCCATCTGTCCATTAGTTTTCTCTCCTGCACTCTCATACACAATAACCTGACCTCTCCTCTGACAACTGTTTATCTTTGCCTGCGGTGATGTTTCTCATAAAGAACGAATCATAGAAATTCTGCGTAAAAGTAGTTCCCATTGTTTGCTTTCTCACTCTGGACGCATGCTACTGTTTGAACACATTCACATCACCACATGAAGTCTGAACACTGTAGGGAGCCTCGAACAAGTTTTCTCCACGCTGAGGAGTTCACTCTGTGCTGGAAAACCTGAGAACTGACTGTCTCTCTTCTCTTTGTGTAAACAATCAAATGAAGAATCACCATGCTCTTCCATGTGACCAGGAGCCAAGAGCCTTACTTGCTGTGATATTTCACGTTGTGGGTGTGTCATTTAGGTTGTGTAATGTTTATATTAATTTATAGAATGGATTAAACGGGGACCTGCGGGTAGGGCCTGTTGAATCATAATTTTACGTGTATACTATGACACACAACGGAGTGATTACTGTGGGTGTACAAATGTACATGTACAAAGACTTAGTATTATTTATTTTGAGCCTTGTAGTGAGACACTGTAGTTGTGGGAAGTGAATATCGCGTGGAGGTTTTTGAGCAAAAGCTAGTGCTGAGACGGCATGACAATAAATTGGCCATTTGTCAGGGGGATTAAAATTATTGCATTGCAACATTGTCCAAAATCTTGCATACGAGTTGAAATGCTCCAACATTTATTAAATAGCTATTACAAAGGATCCTTACAGACAGTTTTGCGTTGAGGCCTACTTCTTTCAACAAATTACACATTATCAGCTAAATGTCAAAGCATAAAAATACTACTAAATACTACATAAATAATACAACTGAAGTTGATATGTAATTATATTCAGTTATTGTGGCATTTAATGTTTGTCATACCCCGCCTGTGTCTCCCCATTCTTGGCCTGATGGTGGTGCGTAGCATGCATTTAAAAGACCAGTCTCAAGATTTTAGCATGTTGGTACAACATTTACATTTCATACAAATCTAATTTTCTACTTCTTAAGAACAACACATCATCACAAACACATCTGAACCCTCTTTGCATTGTAGGACACAAGGGCCGAGAAGAGTTTTAATTTTTGCACACAGATAGTCGCTGCCTCGGCTCTGGCACTGCTGAGCACGAGGGCCTGCATGGAACCAGGGCTCTCGATGATGTAGCTTCTACATTTGAAAATGTTATGACTGCATTTGCTTACAGGAATATTATAATTACTTAATTTTTTTTTAATTAATTAATTTTTTAATTGTTTTCTAGATGTTTATTGTAGATTAGTCTACACCAAGCTATGCCAGACTTGGCTAACACTACGCTATGTCCTTTCTTCTCGTGGGCAATTTAGTTGCAGCTCTACACCTTATAAGTCGCAATAATTCAACCTCCTGATTTCAAGATGTTAATATTTTGTATTTAGAAGTATAAATCACAATGAGGCCCTAGCTCATAACCCAACCATCTTACATGTTCTAAAAGACTAATATACATGTAAATATGATTTAAATTATTTTTGTGTAAAATAGTTTTTGACTTTCACATTGTGCATTGGACAACAGTTGGAGTTAAAATGTCACAGCAACACCTCATCAATCAGAATATGGAATGTGCACTGTTACTTAGCTGGTTGATATTTTCAGACGGAGTCTCCCTCGCTATCTGACTCTCTGTGTCTCCCACACGCTCCCTTTCATGGTTCAAATGGTACAGTAGTTGGTTATGTAAGGCTTTGCGTGCAGTGCCGAGTTTTCTGCAGTCTGATGAACAGCTGCACTACAGTTCCATGAACACACCAGATCTGAGTGGGTGTTTAGATGTTTGTGGGTGTTTGTAGGGTTTGGACTTGTAACATAAAATTGTGATCATCCACATTAACATTATACAAAAAGGGATGCAGTTGATGGGTACCAGAGTACCACAATATCTGATATATCTGATATATCTGATGGGTACCAGAGTACCACAATATCTGACATGGAATGTCATCTTATCATTGGTAACACAATGCAAGGAAAGGAATCACGTCTGGAACATTTGGTAATTTGCATAGTATTACCGTAGACGATGTATAGAAACTTGACAGAAGCTTGTGCAGCAGAGGCTTGTGAACCTCTGAAAAGGACAGGACAAGGAATGCTGGTTTCAGAAGAGACAACATTAATACAATATAAAGTTTTTAAAGGATGACATTTATCAGTAAATATTTACCAGATTAACCTTGAAACTGTTAGTTTTTTAATGAAACCTGATGCTATTAAACCATTAACATTGCATTAGTCTATATTCTTAATCATGGTATGTTGCCATAGAACAAAACTGTTTTTTTGTTTAGATTAAGCATTGAAGTTGGTTAAAATGATGTCATGCCAACAGGGAACGTGTTATTAAGAGCAAGGGATGAGGAAGGTTTGGGGCTTGTATTAAAATGAAAGATACATAAATATGTCTATTAATATTTTGCAGTCCTTTTATAAAAGTTGAACAGAGCCAAGTGTAAACCTCCAAGTAGCTGAGTTAAAAAAATATCAGAATGTTTGATGATGTCCAAATGATAATTCTTGCAAATGCACAAGTCACTGAAACAAGAAGGCGATGTCTGTTTTCTCTGACTGCCTGCTTTGCCTGCAAGCCTCTCAAACCAGATCCTGCCAGTCTGCAACAAAGCTATACACACACATACAATGCACAACTGACTCCTCATCTCTTTTGAAAAATAGATCTGAGTCAAATTTGGAAAGAAACGTGAGAAATGTCGTATGTAAACAAATGCCAGAAATAAGTGTCTACTTTTGTCATGTACTCTATGCTGATGGCTTCCTTTTGCACTATTCTCACATTTGTACTTCCATGTCATCATTCATATGCCCAGGTGCCTGTTAGAACCCTGTTGTATAAAGCCCCTCTTGCATCTCCTTTGAAGTTTCAGACATTATTGCAGATTTTTTTTCGGAATCTCACACTGCAGCCGTAGTGAGAGCGCCTCTGCCTTAATTCAAAACCACACAATGAGGTGAGGCAGAAACATTACTTACACTCAGCTGCACACTTCACTCAGAGAGAATATCTGTAGAGGGAGGTAATGGGCAGCAGCATGTGGAGGAAGAGGAGGAAAAGGAAGGATGAAGTACGCTTTTACACAAATCTCAGCAGAAGGACTTTACATTACTGCTAGTGCTATCCATTTTTTTTTCACTTTTCTGAAACAACCAGATGTAGAATATAGCAAGAATATTATACATTTTAATTGGTTGTAATTATCAATTATTTTTGTGATAAATATATACTCTTCCTGATGACAGATGAATAAAAGATTGAAAGGGACCAAAGCAGCCAAGCACTGGCTTTCTAGCAGAGTTCATGGCGTGTCTGGATTTAATATTATATATTTAATAATGCTAGGAAATGATTAAAAATGTTAGTTGAGATTAATTGCATTGTCACTTGTGACTTGTATTACACGCTCCATTTTAAAGTTAGTTTTAAATGTACAGTGCAATACCATTTTTTAACATACTTTAAACAAACATGGTGACTTTTTAATAGCAGTATTTTCTTTATACAGTAGCATTTCAATCTTGGAGGGCTTCTTTAAGTCTTAATGTTTCAGTAAATCTCTACATAAACATAAATGTAATCAAATTAAATGCATATCAAAATCATAACATTATAACGGACACCTTTTCTGCAACAGTTAGTAGGCGTGTACTGAATATGAATTATTCTTCGGACTCATTCAACTTTTTAGTGATTGCAAATAATTTTTGTTCTATCAATTCTGCTTTTCTGTCCCTGCCAGTTCCTATGCTGTTTTATCTGCATTCATGAACTATATATACAGGCAATGACAGACTTTGTACTTTTTTAACAATCAGGAAAATAATTGTTGTAATTGGTGTGACCTGAATTATTATTATTACACATTAGTGACCATCCCCATTTTAAGTCATTTTAAATCTATTGTTTTGCTACTCTGTCCAGTCATATAATATTTTAATAGGGTTTTAGCTGCATCTATACAGCAATGTGATGGCTGATGTTGCTGGATGCATCATTGTCCAGTATTCATTGACCTTAAGGGGGACAATTCAATAAAACATCTGGGAGATGATTTGGGTTGGACTTTCGCCACCTACTGGATCCTTTCACTGTCTGGGGGGAAAAATCATGACGAGTGCAACATCCATTTTGTAGAATTGTAAAATGTCAGCAAAATCAAAAACATACAGACATGGGATGGTTCTCAGGTTAACTTAAGATTAACTTTTTTCTCTCAGAGTTTTAACTGTATTATATCTATACATTCCTCAAAACTGTGTGTTGTGTTATGTAAGTATCAAGTACTATAGGCTTAACGTGGAACGTGGGTAATATATGGGTCAGCCCTTCTGTCCATGTCACCAGCTTTGTGAGGGATACATAATGAATGAGAGCATTTCATGTAGTCTAACTTTGCTGTGATTTTATTGGCTGAGCCAAGTCTGCAACGCCATCAGTGGCTGGCTGATGTCTCCTCAGCGACATCTTTCCTCAGACCAGTTTCAAGTCTTTTGTTCTAAGTGAGCATGCGCACAGTGATCCCGAAACCTGGTACACGATGTACAGCCACACGTTGGTGTATCCAAACCAGGTCGTTACGTAAACTTTAGAGCGCTTCAGCACTCGTGTTTTGTCTCGCTAGAGAAAGTTTACTTGGATTCATTTGTCCCATTTCAAGAAAGGACAGCAGATGTGACCTTAAGCCTAATGAGGTTAATTAGTTGAATTTGAGCGCTCAACCGAATTCCCTCATAAAACTCTAATATTCATTACTCTTCCCCTGTTGGGTTTGATAGTTGTTTTCTTAGTCTACCATCTCATCTGTCTGCACTGCTCTGTCTGAGAGTGTACTTTTTCCTTTTACAGCATGCTAGTACATGTGAGCCATGATCAGGTCCAAAGCCATGCTGTGTTTTCAGCCCATGATCAGTGTGCACTGATGTACACTGATGTGAAGTGACAGACTCGGCCAAAGACATGATTTTTCCCCGAGTTATCTTCTTGGTGGCGTGTGGAGAAACGTGACGGATGCAGTAGAATGATCGGTTGTTTTCGTATGAGAATAATGACATGATAAAACAAAGAAAAAAGTTGCAAACGGGCAGCTTATGAAGACCGCGAGGTCGCTCACAGGGTATGTGGTCAGAAGTAGCTCATCCTATTGGACGGATCACATTAATCTCTGCTGACAGTTTACGTAAGAGCAGAAGGGGAGGTGACTTGACTCCTTATGCAGTGACATCACTGCGCGCCATCCTATCGCCCATCACTGTGCCCAGTCGTCAGTGAACGTATACGTGATTCGGGCTTGTTATGGGGCACACAGGAAGACTTCATGTACACAATCGCGTTCGCGCTAGACACACATGCACTCCTTCTTCTGTCCCTATACCACATTCCTCTCCATCCTGGTTCCCATTGTTGATCAGACTCCACTACGAAGCTCCACCGCAGCAGCGGGGGGGTCTGGGCTAGAGGGCACAGGTCAGGAGGACAGAAGAGGTGCAGTTGTGGTGGTTGTTTGTTTTTTGGCGGGTCTTTAGTAGGGTGAACATCAATGAGAGAGAAGGGGCTGGCCGGTGGACGGCAGGGCAGGACCACCATGGCCCTAAAGCTGATGTTTTGGGAGCTGGAGAATCATCTCAAAAGGTAATGATGCCTGTCCTGTTGTCAGGGAGTTGAAAAAGAGGGTGGTGTTGCCACAGTAGGGGCCACGTCAATAGTAGAAACCTGGTGGCACAGTGCGGGTGGATCCAGATGACGTGCCTGACGTGTTGTGATTGTGGTAGTTGGTGAAACTTTGGAAAGTGGTTTCTCTTGAAGAACAAACTGGTGCATGTCTCAGCTTGCAACAAAGTGTCAGGGTTCATCACCTCAGCACATTCAACTGCTGCACAGGTGTTCAGTGTGTTCTAGGACATCATGTTCCCACCCCTACACACAATGTCACACTTGAATTAATGTAAATTTGAGGATGCCGTTTCAGCTATAGCTGTTTGGTGTTGCTTTTAAAATGGCCTTTATCAACATTTAGAGCAAAACAAAAGCCTTCATTAGTACGTATCCTAGGTAGGCAACATGTTGCAATCCCCTCAACCTATCAGTTGGTCTATATAGGTTTTTCTTTGTCTGATGAGATACACTATAAATATTTATCTTTTCACAGTAGGTACATAAGAACACCAATAGTTCCTGCAGTGATACCAAAAGAAAAATGTTACTTTTAAGTCTGGATTAACAAAGTATTCACACAAGTCTACCCCATTGTCCAGTGAAATCCTAAAATGTCAACTCTCATTTATGACAGTGAAATTTCTTAAAAATGCAGTTTTTTGACAATTATTTTATTGATCTGATTTTCAAGTGTCCAATCAAACCAAATAATGAAAAAGGAGGTACAAGTGACTGAAAGTAGCAGTAAACTTGTCAATAAATCAAGTTGATTCCAAAATAACAACTGTATAAAGTGTGATTGGTCAATAACTGCACGGCACATCACAGAATCATAAAAAAAAAACCCATATATGTATATAAACCATATACATATTGGAACACACCCTATCATCAGTATAGAGAGGGACGTGGGGAAAAGGGTCTGACAACACTGTACTGTGAAGTACACTTTGTTCCCACGTCAGACTGTCTGATCTGGGCTCATCCCCCACTGTCTCTGTCACCTGACCCCATTTTCTTTTATTGACCCTCCCTGCATTTGAATTGTTTTTGTCCTTTTACAAGTGGCAGGTGGTCAGTGCTAAGGTCGGCAGTTTTCCTCGGGGTCAAACCTGGGGCTATTGATTAAGTTCACTTAAATCACAGAGTGCTTTTGTAGGAGCTACAGGTTTGGCATCTTGTAAGGTTGTGGGATAGCTTTTAATACTTAATATAACAGATAGGTGGAGACATTCTCCCATAACAAAGCTTTGGGTTCTTAACTACTTTTCATATTTTTATTCATTCATTAGACTCCTGCTAAATTAACAAGTGAGATTAGGACAATAAACATTTGTTTACAATACAATATATTTTAACTTTGAACAATATTCTTATATTTAAAAATGCAAAGCATTTTAAATATAAATAAATTGTAGATATTTTTATTGGGGAATTGAAAGTTTATGTTGGTGTGCTCATTTAAGGGCTGCTGCCAAATTTTCCCATATTTATATTTTGGTTTCTCCTAACCTTTTGAATCATGGTTCTGTTTTTATACAAGACAATATTCTCATACTGGTCATCATGGTGGGTCAGATAAACATGTCAAAAAAACATGATGCAGTTGATATAAAACCAAATTTGAAGTGCATTGAATTAAGTTAATGATTGTTGATTTTATGTGTGTGACTGCAGTATCCTTTATTAACACATCTGATCAAAAATAAAAACAAAAAATAGGATAAGAATGAATGTTTTTCTAGTGATTCGAATGTACAGCACAATTATAAAATATGTATAATAAATAATAAGTATGTTATGAAAACCCAAATGTTGACCTACGTGATGTGGACCGCGGTTTCGGATGCGGTGTTTTGATGAAGTTACTGCACAGATAGTGCGGAGTAACAAAATTATAGAGACGTCTCCTCCAATCAGCGTCGCTGTGGAGCTTTTTTTTCATTTTGCATGCATTATGCCAATGAGTCTACTGTCGGCCAATCAGACGGCAGTGGGTGCTGTGCATTTTTTGTCCTCCATTCAGTGAGCAGAGAGGAGGCCGCTCAAACGGAGTCTCCTCTCAGTCTTTGTGCGCACTGTCCCGCGGCTGCTGCGCTCGCTCTCATGGAGCAGTAGATCGGACTTTAAGCCGTCAACAACGATGTGATTCTGGACTGTTCTGCGGCTGAATTCCGGGTGTGCGCAGCCGTCAAGGCTCCTCTAGTGTGTTAATGGACGGGATAGCATGAATTCTCAGTGTTACACAGTGGCGATGGACCTTAGCGTTTGTCAGCTGAGGAATTTCTCCATATCGTTTCTGTCCTCTGTGCTTGCAAAGGAGAGCGCATCAGTCCGGCTCGACAATAGGTAAACGACACAGGGCTTTTCTGTGGACAGTGGTGGTAGTCCACCATTAAAACCCAAACCCGCTCTCTCAACCACCCTTATGTCCTCGATCATTTTCCATTTTAATTTCCTGTGATTTTCATGTCAACTAACAAACTTTTTAATAGCCATTTTTTCCACATTCTATTCCTTATCTTTGTTATTTATCTGCATTTGCCCTCCATGGCAACACTTCCCCATTCATTTCAATTACACACATGCACAGACACACACACAGACACACACACTGCGGTATTCAGCTGAGGTTGCAGCAGCATCCAAAAGCCCAACCATCTTAGCTCATTTCTGTCTCCTTTCTTGTCCTTCAGCTCGTCGGGTGCAAGTGTGGTGGCCATCGACAACAAGATCGAGCAGGCCATGGTAAGATGCTGCCGACTTTTTCTGCCACATTATCTGCACCGTCTCAGGTTATAACATGCATGTTTTGTCATGTAAGTGTTTTCTCCTGAGACTTAAAACTGTAGAAAAGAGAAATCCAGGTTTATTAAATGAAGATGATTTCGAGGATGAATGAACCCTTCATTGAGTTTGAGACAATTACTGTTTCAGTATGTGTTTCAAATCTAATGACTAACTAACTAATGTATATGAAAATGAAATTGTCTCAGAAATAGAAAAAAATCCATATTGTTATTGCACAGGAACAAAAGTGTTAAATATACAACAGAACTGCAAATATATTATTAAAGTATCTATCTATCAATCTATCTTATTGGTCATTCAAAATAATATTTAAACAATTACCTACAGTAAACAGAACATGTCAGGTTGATAATATGGACTCTAAACAGCTTGAACAAGTAAATAAATGTATTTTCTCTCAGCTTTTATAGCACACTTATTATGTACACATAAAATTGTAGGAGCAGAATAAGCTGAACTTGCTAATGACACCTCACATGTAACGTATTGAAAGATATGTGTAAAAAGTTTTATTTTTAGATATTATGATAATGAAATGTGTTTGTGATTTAAAAGTCCTAGTCCCATATACTAATATACCACACACATCCATGTACACCTGCTGTATGTGAGATCATCAAAGCCTCCTGCTTCCTGCACTGTCACCATTTGGACTGATGACCTCAGGCCTGTTGGCAACTCCAACTGGGCCAGGCGGAGGTTCACATGCAATTTCTCTCCCGCCCTTTCTTACATACATGTGCAGTCCCTCACCCGCTCTCCCCCATTGTGTCAGGAGTTGCTAGGCGAGCGCCAGCCTCCCCTTTTGGCTCAGTATAAATAACTCGGCCTGTGATTGGCTCCTCCCACTCTGGTGCAGGGACATTTTGTTCCCCAGATGGGGAGGAGGAAAAAAAAGGTGAAGAAGGATGAGGAGTGGATCTAGAGAAGAGAGGATGCTGAGATTATTAAACACAAATCCCAACAAATTCAGCAGCAGGCCGATAAATCACATCATCATCGTCCCTCATAAAGCTGCTTTACTGAGCATTAGGAAGAAAATGCATGTGTGTGTGTGTGCGCGACATCGTGGGTGCGTCTGTGTGGTCCTATTTTCCTCACACAAGCTCAATGACTCCATGATGCGCTGTGGAGTGATTTAGGACACTCGTTCAGCTTAGCAGTAAACTACCACATGTCAGTGCAGCAGCTTATTTCTAGGTCAATTCTTTGTTTTTCGATGCTCGTCGTTTTGGGCGGCACTAGGAGTCCAAACAAAGACAATCAAACTGATGGATATTAACACAAATTTGCATTGTTAAAGATATAATAATCAATATATTGGGCTTTGAAAAACAAAGTATATTTTTAACATAGAGAAAACTGAAACCGACAGTTGTTCCACCTTCTTTACCTAAAAACTGAAAAACGGATCCGTTTGGCGTCACACCCAATGAATCATTTGATTTTCTGTCTGAGTAATACATGTATTAATATAATAATATTTTTTTTAATATCAATGCAAAAATGTACATTTTGTCCTGAATTATTCCTAAAAGTTCTACATTTATACCATTAGTCTTCTGTTGTGAACCTAACCATCACCTGATTTTTAAATCTTTAGCTTCTAACAACTGCTGCCATCAATTAAGTGGCATTATTTTATATTACATTAGGTTTATTATCCAGCGAAAAGTGTTTTGGAAACACAAAAGAAAAAAGGTCACTTTACTTTGAATGCCCCCCACCTCTCCCACCTTCTGAACCCTTTATTTTGATTCATCTTTGGGTTGTCCTCTCTCTCTCCCATCGTCAGGACTTGGTGAAGAGCCACTTAATGTATGCCGTACGTGAGGAGGTGGAGGTGCTGAAGGAGCAGATCAAAGAGCTCATCGAGCGTAACTCTCAGTTGGAGCAGGAGAACAACCTCCTCAAGAACCTGGCCAGCCCCGAGCAGATGGCCCAATTCCAGGCCCAGGTTCAGACCGGTGGCTCCCCGACTGGCACAGGCCAGCCTCCAGCCCCGGTCCCGGCTGGACCAACACAAGTCCTCTCCTCCTCGCAGATCTCCAGCTCGTCTGCATAGTCCAGAAAGTCCCAAACCCAGACAGTTCCTCCACCATGACAGATAGAGGAGATGGGAGAAAGAAGATAAGGAGGAGGAAGACGAAGGAGTCTTGCCATACTGTGAACAGACTATTCCACTGTCTCAAGGACACGACTTTTCTTTTCTTGCACACTTTATTTAACTGACAGAGTTGCACTGGTGTCTGCGCTCAGTCCCGTTTCGATGAACCTGCTTCAGACAATCCTCGTCATGCTGTTCGTTATGATGATGCCCTGGTAAAGGGGTGGAGCTGACAAGAATCCAGCATTTGTGCAGTAACAAAAAAAGGCTACGCCGACAATGGGGAGCTTGTCAGCAGCGTCTTTCTTTTTTTCTTTTTCGTTTTGTTTTTGTTTTAATATCCTCATTGTCTCGCAACTTGTGCCATCATATTTGACCCTCCCCAGCATCTCCAAACCAGCGCTGTTATTTCTGCACACAACTTTTTTTGTTTTGTTTTTTTGTTTTTTGCACTTTTCGTTGACACTAGACTAATATACAATGTGCAAACCAAGCGGGACACATAAGGAAAGATGTCTCTGAGTGTTACTGAAAAAATTTAGTAAAAATAAACAGAAATCATGTGTCTTAATAATCCCATCATCCCATTGACCAGAGCATTAAACATTTGAGCAGGGCGTCCATGTTTTTTTTTTTATTTTATTTTTAAAGAGGAAGAGAATACGTTTGGGATTGTTTAATGTCTCGTGCTTTTATTGATATTGTGTTAATTGTCCTAGCGCTAACAGCAGATGCATAACAGGTAAAAGTAGGACATTGCTGTTCTTAGTGTCGTCCTTATTTGTACATATACAATTTAAATCTGCCAAGTGCCTGGTGTCCAACCATAGATACATATATAAAAAAAGTTTTTTTAGTTCATGTTTTCATATTTTTTGTACATATAAATATATAGATATATAAATAAATTAATACATATAAATATATATAAATATATATATATATCTATGGTTTAGCCAGGTTGTAAACTACCTGTGATGTCATTACTCAGGGTGGCACCAGAAGAGGACAATTTTACCTCGACACAAAGATGCTGTCTCTCCTGCAATGACACACAGCCTTGTACTGTATGTGAACTCTCCTTAAAGGCGACTCGCTCTAAAGATCCTTGACTGTTTTACTGTTTTATTTTCTGTTCTGTTTTTGTTTCTTTGTTTTATGTCTTTTGTACAGGCAAGTGTATGGATTTGCTCTTAGTGCAACTGGAGTGCTCGACTCAACAATAATGGAAGCAAATGGTCCCAGCAGAAGTATGTTGATGTTTTTTTTGTGCATGTTCCTCAGCACATCACAAATGTGACGTTCAATTTGCACTAGAAAGTTGCACCTCAAATAAAAATGAAATACCCCCAAATACTGACTTTTTCTTCCATTATATATTTGTTTGTATAAGAAATATGAAGCTATTTTTTTTTATCAAAAGTATGTCTTGGTTGTACTTTTTGTTCATCGATAGGGTTAAATTACACCACAATACCAGTACAGTAAGAACACACAAGTTTGTTTGTTGACCTGCCTCTGCATTTATCACCTTAGATTTTACAGTTCATTTTGACTATTTGACAACTGCATGTACTCATCTGGAAAGCCACAAAAATACAAATACCTGGCTAAATGTAGCTCAGAGCCCTGCTATTGGGTTGAGCTGTACACTCAAACCATCTGTATAAAAATCACTTCTGATATGATCAACATCTAGAATATGTTTAAAAAGATGAGACAGGTTACAGTAGTCAGAGACCTGAGGAGTAGCATTAAACATTTGTCCATTTATAAGGTAAAGTAAAATATGCTGCTTAGAACATTTGGTTTTGACTGTGTTAAAATAATGTTTGTTTTTACAGGTTGGACAGACAGAATGCACACCATGCACGTGAGACACTTTCAACCTATTAGAACAGTAGTTATGATACTGGCTTCCTGCTGTACTGTCTGTCCCAGACAAATGATGTTCAAAACATTGATGTTATAAAAAAAAATCACCAATAATTGCATGACACAAAACAAATCTTTTTTTTTTCATTTACAATTGTTAGTAAAACTAGGTGTATATTTGTCCATAGGGTTTCATTTGTTATTTTACTGTCACATTTCTACCCAAATGCAAAAAAAACCCCAACAAGACAAATGACTACAAAAATGGTTTCTGCCAGTCAATAAAAGATTGGGCAGATTTATTTTTACTAAAAAATGTATATAAATCAAGTATCCCGAAGAACCACTTAATGGCAGCTCCCATGGCAGCCTGTGTCTGTTGCAAAGATTCACATAGTAAATGTTCTCTATTGTGGAATAAGGGACTCAGTTATTATTATTATTATTATTATTATTATTATTAACTGAGTGAATCCCTGCCTTTCCTCAAGACCTTGTAAATCACTAGCTTATTATTGAGTGTCAAAATAAGCTTCAAAACATGAAGGTTAATAGAGATTGTGTTGGAATCTAATAAATAGCTTGGAACTGCCCTCAGTTGACCTTTGCCCCTAGCTGTCACAGCACAACACCTCAGTACACGTGCGGGAAGGAGAGCTGCAATGTAAATAATGCATCTACATGTGCCTCTCTTATTGGTTCCACATGGCCGAGCCCCCTCAGCCATGCAGTGTTTGCTCCGCCCACCTCTGCCTTTCACATGGATATGCTGGAATAAAGGGGAGTCTATTTCATAACAGAAATAGAATACCTACTTGAAAATGATGTAAAACTTTTAGATCATGCTGTGATGTCAAAAATATAGACTTCAGTTTTATACCCAATATTCAAGGTTTGGAGCAAGACAAGGACAGCAATACTTGGTTCTATACACACGAATGAACGAATGAATAGGACACTTTTTAATCATGTTGACCTTTATTTTTTTGACCGACAGCTGGGATTTTATTAGAATTTCGGTTGTTGAAGTTTGACTTTTTCTTTTTTATTCTGTATTTTTATGCAAAGGGAAATCATTTTACATTCTGAGTTATAACTAATGTGCCCAGAAATGCTGTGTTATACCTATTAAAACTATAAAAAAAATCTAAACAAAAAAATATTTTACTGCAGTTTAGGAGAAAACTATTTTAATAGAAAACAACATGCTTTAGAAATGTTTATTAACAAAATTAATTCTTTTACTTTTGTCACTACGAAGAGTAAGGGCTTTCAAAATTCCACAGGAGCTGATTGCCCTCAGCTGTGGCAGAACAACAGGTGCAGTGATTGGCTGTGATCAGCCTTGAAGCCTGTGGTTTAGTCGTTTAAATTCTGGAAAACTGTCCTAGTTTACACTAATACAAAATAAAAGGAACTTTTAAGAGTAAGTATTTTTTTACCACTCTGAGCTGAAACTCGTCTGTTTTTGACTTGACCTTAACTCTAATGCAACCACAGCATAATGTTTGTTAGGATCAATATACAGTATATAATTTAGCAACATTGGTTTTCAGAGTTAAATTGGAGCTAAGAGTGAGCTTGGATGTGGATCTTTAGACCCTCCTCCGTGTCGTTAGACTGAAGACTGCCTCTCCCAGCTGTATTGTCACTGCACATCTACTGCTCTGGTGTCCAGATGGCACTTTCACAAATCCTATTTCATTGACAAAAGGTGTTTTCTCCAAGCTCACCGCGGACCCTGGTACAGGATGTTCTTTGAGGCAGAGGGCTCAGCCGCAGATTAACTTCATCTATTTGTACCGCTGACTGTGTTTACAGGCACATGTGTGGAGGTCAGTCCTTACGTTGTGCGGCGTGAGGAAAATATTTGGGATTCGTGACATGAAAAAAGTTGTTTAGACTGTAAATATGCACAACAAAAAAGACCCAAAACAAAACTTTTTTTGTGCTCAGGTATTTCATCGAAATCTTTTTCTGTGGATTAACAACACTATTTCTCGAGATGTGCTCTATTTAAGTCTAAACAATGCTTAAAAAAGCTGTAATGATAACATTTGTCAGAGCTGTTCAAGATGCTTAAGAAACATGTCTGAAGATGTTTGAGTTTTTAAAAACCACCATACATGCATAGACCCCCACTGGCCTCCCCACCTCACCTGCTGATGCCACTGTCTCTGCAGAGAAAGCAGGTGTCCAGTTGGTTAAACCCTAGGCAGTAGGCGTCAGAGACCCCTCTGTTTGGAAACAAACTCAAATCCTTAAAACCAGGGAAGGACTTTGGAAATCTCTCGTGAGTCACTTGATGCTACATGCAGTTCCAGTTTTGGAGAACCCCCATGTGTAAAACATGCCTGGACATTCCCCGGGAAATTAGCAGCTCTACAGCATTGTCCCGTGAGCATCATTGGATGTGGAGCTGATTTAATAAAGAGTCTATATGTGGCTCAGGTCGGTTTGTCTGGGGAGCAGCTGGAGAGAAGTGAGATCATGTGGGCACGAAGCATGAGGAAGAGTCACGTTGAATATTCCTAAAGAACCAGTGCTACACTCTCTGGATCTGACTGTTTTCAATAGACCATTTTATATGTTTTATATGTTAGTATTGTTCCAGTATTAACCAGTGCTATTAAATTGCTTTGTGCCTGTGACCATGACAGAGTTAAATGGCATTTCTGGCATCTGCAGAGGGTTTGGAGTAGTGAGAGTCGAGGGATGACTTGTCCTGAATCTCTGGCTGAGAAGCAGTTTGATATTTGCATATGAAAAAATGATAATGTAGCAGTGCAAGATGTAGCAGACAGACAACAGGGCAATGACTTTAAGTCTGTGTTTGTTTTGGCTGGGAGTCTGCGTGTGAACGTGTGTGTCTGTTCCGTGGAGACAGTCATTACATCAACAGCGAGCTGACACAGCAGGAGAAACAACAATTACAGCAACAGGCTTCAACAAACGGGGCATTCACTTGAAGAACTCTCCTCTTAATCAGGTTGTCGATGCCACAGTCGCTTTCCAAGGAAGCTTGGAGGACATGGAGATTTAGTGAGGTGTGCAGGGAACTGTAGAGAGTGTATGTCAGCCGTGAAGGGTTCATTTGTAATCCATCAAAGGCTCCCTTGTAGAATCGTGAGCTTTCGAGTGTATAAAGAGGAGAATTTAACAACAATGAACACACTGAACACAACTGTGGAGCAGCTCTAGTTTCATTAAAAAAAACAAAAAAGTTCAATTTTCAAAATGATAAAAAATGCATCAATGAAAGCCAATAAGAGCATTCATAGTCTTGATTTGTTAGTGGGCAGAAATTAAGTGTTTTTGTCTGAATAATTTGGAAACATTTGGATGAGGTCTTTTGTTTGACAAACCCACATGGTTCCAAGATCTGACACCACATCATCATCGACATGGTGTCCAGCTTAGAAATATTTACTCTGTTGATTTTAAAATAGTGTGGTTGACAGTAGTGTGTAGTAGACTGTGGCTAGGTTGTCAGACGAAAATGTGTTTGTTCGTTTTAAGAGCGTCAGCAGCGATGAGTCAGCAAATGTCTGCACACAAAGGTGTAAAAACAAAACATGTAAATTACCGAAGGAGAAGTAAAACTTGTTGAGAAAAACAACATTGTACCTGTGTCATGTTGGCTGAGGGAGTGAGTGTGTTTGCAGTGGCAAACATACAGTACTGGGTGTGTCTGTGTGTGTGTATGTGTACGTGTAGTTGTAATGCACATAATTATTATCTAACAGCTGCAGCCTTTGGGGAATTATTATTATTATTTTTTACGCCATACGTGAGAACAAGGTTTTCTTAATACATTTATGGGAGATGGCAGCGTAACCATAAAACACAGCAGGTCTAGGGCGATATAAACAAGGACATCCTGTATTACTGTTTGACTTTTACAGTTGCAAAAATAAAAGGTTTAATTTCCCCTCTGTGAAAAAATGGAAAATCCCAACTTTAAAAAATGATGGCCCTACTCCACAACAATCAAGTCCTTCTCTCTGTACATTGAACTAATCCAGTGGTTCTCAAACTGTGGTACGTGTACCACCAGTGGAGCACTCTCTAGTAGTATGTGGTGAAAATTAATATTTTCACATTTACATTTTCAACTGAATAAATCTGAGACATACCATGGATAATTAATGCGACATTTAAACATAAACATCTTTCTAAACATTTATAAACATCTCTCCTGTGGAGGAAGCTAACAGTGAAGGCCTCTGCTGCTATATTCTAATGTTGGTCATCTTGGTGGTACTCAGAGAGATCAGTGTTTTCTCAGGTGGTACAGAGTAGAAAAGGATTGAGAACCGCTGCTCTAATCCATCCATTCCATCCACCGTACGCCTGCTAGCTTCAATGTTGTTTCCCTCCTTTTCTGGTCTTCCAGCACAGAAAATAGGGATGCGTTTGTAGAATTGTATGGAACTAAATTTTTATTATCTTGATTAGAATAAAAAAACGACTTAGCCC